TAGATGATCCCAATAATGACTTGTCTACCTTTGGGCCTCTGCAAAAGAAGCAATGTTATAAGGGGTCCTCTTTGCAAGATAGGCTGACTTTTCATATAGTAGGGGATTGTGATATCAAGACTGCGAACACTTACGAGAAAGATGCTTCTCACAAGATGTGTGAGCAAAACTGAACTGCTGTCAATAGCAGTGTAGAACTACAATAGATAAAGCATTCCAAGAAGGCACATTGCAATTTCTCCTACCTTTCTGTACTACCAAAAAACCTTGCAGCAACATCAAAGAATACAGCCCCCCAAAAAGTTATTAATTTCACTCCTCAGGTAAATTCCTGAGCTAGAATATACTCTGGAACACAATGTTAAGAACTTGTTAGGTCAAAGGTGCTTCCTCTGACATCTACCAGAACACCAACAGTGGTGCTGCAGTATCCCTAGAGGTATGCGCTGGGGTTGCAGTGTTGCTAGGGCCAGTGGATGAGGATGGCCTGGTGTGACTTCCCTGGGGAAGGCAAACAGGAAGCTTCAGATCTACAGCAGTAACAACAGAAAGCTCTTATTAAAAACGATACAACCTTTCTGCTGGGGCTGAATGTGACATTGTAGAGAAAAAGGCTGGATCGATGGGCCAAGGCCAATTACACAAGTTTCAATAAGGCCAAATGCCAGGTTCTGCACTTTGCCACAACCACCCCCAGCAGAGCTACAGGCTTGGGGAGGAGTGGCTGGAGAGCTGCCAGGCAGAGAGGGCCATGGAGGTGCTGATGGACAGCCGGCTGAACAGGAGCCAGCAGTGTGCCCAGGTGGCCAAGAAGGCCAATGGCATCCTGGCCTGTGTCAGAAATGGTGTAGCCAGCAGGAGCAGGGCAGGGATTGCCCCCCTGTACTCAGCAGTGGTGACACTGCATCTCGAATCCTGGATTCAGTTTTGGGCCCCTCACTCCAGAGAAGGGCAATGAAGCTGGTGAAGGGTCTAGAGCATAAGTTTTATGAGGAGTGGCTTTTTATGAGGAGTGGCTGAGGGCACTGGAGTTGTTTAGTCTGGAGGAAAGTAGGCTGAGGGGAGACCTTATTACTTTCTACAGCTACCTGAAAGGAGGTTGTAGCGAGGTGGGGGTCAGTCTGTTCAACCAAGTAACAAGGACAAGAGGAAATCGCCTCAGGTTGTACCAGGGGAGGTTTAGATTGGATATTAGGAAGAATTTCTTTACTGAAGGGGTTATCAGGCATTGGAACAGGCTGCCCAGGGCAGCAGTGGAGTCCTGTCCCTGGAGGTGTTTAAGAGTCATGTAGACAGAGTGCTTAGGGATATCGTTTTGTTGAGGACTTACCAGTGTTAATGGTTGGACTCCACGATCTTAAAGGTCTTTTCCAATCTAGGCAACTCTGTGATTCTGTGAATGATAACAGACTTTTAAAAGGCAGATCTTGAGCACATGCTAGAGAATGATTTAGGTGATTACAAAACTTCCTCCTAAAATTGAGCTTGAAAAGTGGTAAAACCACCAAGGCTCCAATTTTCCTTTCTCCCTTGAGAGTACTACGACCGTACAGACTGTCTTCATAGCACCTTCAGGTTTCCACCCAGCAACAGTTCACAAAGGTCTTTAATTTTCCAAGGGAAACTTTATTTTCAAGCCTTGCCTTGAATTTGAATACGACTTCCATCCAAAGATGCTGGGGTGCCTCCAAGACAAGTGTTCAAGGGGAAAGGCACACAAGTATTAAAAGGGAGATACCAAGGCCCGAAACACTTTAGAGTCAAGAGAGCAAGGGCATAGAAAATACCTCAGCTGAATTAAGTCTCTGCCCTGGAAGGAGGTACAGAGACATTACAAGAAAACAAGTCTGTGAAGAATTAAAATAGACATGACAGGCTTTTCAGCACCAGAACTTGCAATCTGTGAAAGGGTACTCCACTGATTTCTCCACTTATAATGAATCCAACTAGTAATGCTTAATATTTAGCCCGACACGATGACGCAATCCAGGTGCAGCTTGCACTATATTTGGCAAATAAATCCTCCGTCCTTGAGAGCAACACTGCACTGAGAGATTATCAGTCCCAAATCCCACAGCAGCTACATGACTTGCTATTTTGCCCATCCTCAGGAAGTCCACAGGCTCACTATAGATCCCATAAGCTGAAAACTAGTCCAGTCACCTGTGTTTAGGACACTAAGACCTTGGTGGCTTAAAAGTCAGAGCGGGCATAATTAAACAGCTCTTTTTTGATTTATTATATAGTGCATTGCTAGCCATTAGTCTGCAAAAGCATTGCTTGCTCACTAATAAACCCTGTAGCTCCAAAACAGCCACCTGGTGTTCCAAGTCACACTTGATTTACAACTGTTGAGAAAAGGTCTAAAGCCACAGTCGAGCTCATAGCGAATCACAAAGGGATAAAGATGGCACACACTGTATTCAGTTGCACTGCAATGTAGTTTAATCAAGTTTCCAGCTACTGCCACATTCCACGCCCTTGTAGGTACATCAACTCCCTGTGCAGGGCAGTGCCTGTTACCAGCTCCATCAGTAGGTACTAATGCGGCACCAATACCTCCCAAGCCAAGCCTTCCACTTCACAGGAATCCTGTAGTAACAAATGAAGCCACTCAACATGAAATATGATTTGACTACGATTTTTCTATTGTTGATTTAAGTGTAGACTTGTCCAGCATCCTTCCTGTACCTATTGCACATGGGTACTGCAGCACTCCACTCATCACTTTCCTTCCAAAAACTTGTCTGAAGTATCTGCCATGCTTTTAACTTCATGCAGGCCTAGATGTCACGTTTCTTAAGTTTGTGGAATTTGTGTAAAAGTGTGTGTGGAGCCATTCTTTTTCTTCATCTGGTTTAAACAGCACTCCTTTTCACTCAACCACTGTTAACTCCCACCCTGCTCTTTACTCTGTGGTACCATTTCGACAGTTTAGTCAGACCGGACAGGCTACCATAAAGCCGGTGCTCATCCCCTCGTTAACATTCTCTTCAGTTAAGCTCTGACACACACTGATTCAACAGTAAATGACCTTATTCAAGTTTCTACCTCAAGACGACAATAAAGGCCAAGCGGAGCAGCAGATCCTGCTCCCAGCCAGCTGCAGTGGCCACAGAAGGCTACGGAGGCTTTTTGCTAGAGCTACACCTGCATCCCTTCTCTTAAGCTGGAAGCCAACATGGGCAAAACTCTTAGGATGGAAGAGCAGAGGAGTTGCATAGAGCTAAGTCCAATAGCTCAGCTTGTCCCTTGCAATTATTTTTAGAGTACATTTCCTCAGACTGCAGGACCTTTGTAAGACATTCCTGGGACGAGTCTAAACTTGCCTCACACACCCTGCAGGTCTCAGCAGAGACAGTACCACATGTCACACTAATCTTTCAGAGCTAGCTCAGAAGATGCAGGGCCCAGCAGGCAGCGAAATGATTACGATTGCACCCACCCCTCTAGTCTAGTCGAGAGGTGGCATCCCTGCCCATGACAGGGAGGTTGGACTAGATGATCTCTAAGGTCCCTTCCAGCTTAGGCCATTCTATGATTCTGTAAGAATCAAAATGAAGCACAGATTGCGTATCTTCAGTATCTGAAAACTCAGGAGTGGAAGTAATCAGTGATACTGTCTTACACAAAGTCAACTCACCACATGAAGAATGTCAGAGTTTCACACCAACACAGCATGAAACCAAGAAAGAGCCATGTTTAGCAAACTACCAACTGCACTTTTATTGCTCTAGATTGTAAGAAGAAATCAAAGGCCACAACCACCTTCCCACTGTCATGTCACAAAAGTGAAAACAAGAGCCACAAAACAAGAGCCTCTGCATGCCTAGCACAAGATCAACACAACAGAACCCAGCACAAAAAAAGCTTTTATTTCAGGCAAGTGACTTGTGCAGCCTCCAGCCCTCTCCTCCCTTTCTCTTGAAGAACTATTGGCTCAGAAATTCGAGTTTGATATAGGAAGTACTTAATTCTTCATTTTAGAGAATGAAACTTGAATTGTAGGATAAAGTAATTCAAAAAAATTGGAAGAACTCTAGCAGGGGAAAACAAAGTCATTTTTGACTCATAATGATTAAAGTTCATTTTGGAAGGCTGTTGCCATCTTTGTATGACACTTGTTAACAATTACCGCCACAAACTGCACAACAAACTTCAGCATTACTTCTCTGAAAGCAGTAACAGGGCAGTGTTAGTAGCATGATTTCTCAGTTTGCATCAGTAGGAAAACCCACCAAAGGCCCATCTGTTCAGCCACAACACCAGAGCAAGCAATGTTCTCATGTCAATGAGTAAGCAGGCTTTTTCCATTCTCTCCATCCTTATAGCACAGTTTTCAATGAGGAGGCCACTGTCATTTCTTTACTTAATAAGAAACAAGTCAGGAACTTAGGTCATTATCAGACTTTTATTAAGAGGAAAAAATATATTTTCTATAGCAGTGATCAAGAGCTAACACTGGAAAGTCACAGATGTGATGAAGTCTATCATCAGAGACTCTTTACAAATAGACTCTTTGCTTATATTTATTCTTTGAATTAATATGCAGAAATAATTTATTTTGCAGCTTTCCCAAACACAGTCACACCACAGACATCACCTAGAAGAAAGAGGAAAGACAGCTTCACAAAACGTCTGTTTCCACTGGATATAAAGGGACAGTTCAACAATCAACAAGAGAACCCCAGCAACAAACCCACAAAACCCAACTCCTACATTGTCCTTGTGTTAGAAAACTGAGATTAAAATCTTTTAGAAGACAACAGAGACAGAACCATACTCAAGCTGAAGAGCTGTATACTGCCAGAGACTTCACCATTCCCACTAGGAGAGAAGTACTTCCTCTAATGTCTATGAGGATCACTTTGCCTTCCCACTCATAAGGAAGACACCTTTGCCATCATCAGCTGTTCTCTGGCCCTGCCAGGGGCACCAGCTGAGAAGCCAGGGTACTTCAGAGGCAGAGGTCCCAAAGGCTATACTCACCACATTCAGAGTCCTGCTCATCTCACTCATATCTTGAAGCCCAGAGCTCTCATACACTCTTTGTGAGCTTCAATTAGGTGCCCGCAATTTTCTTCCCCCTTCTCAATAATGCTGCAAAACAAAAAGATTTCCAAGGCTCAAGAACTAAATATTTTCTTACGATTAGTTAAAGCCAAAGAAGCGGCAAGCTGTTGGGGACAATCAAAGCTCCTTGTTAGGGTATACAGATCTTTTTGCCTATCCTGTCCATGGTAGCACTGTTCTGGAAAGCATAATACTATCTCAAGAAGTCTGGAGCTGTGCATTTAAAACTAACGAAAAGCCTAATAGAATTTTCTATTAACAGGCCAGTGTCTATTCCGGACAAGTCTAGACAGGGATTTGTTATACAACAGAAGGCTGTTGCATCACCTCATCAGGCACCCTGATCTCGTCAGCAACCAGTTTCAAATCATTCAGTATGAAAGCATCAAAACTTCTCAAGTAAGAGACTGATACAGAACAGGCTGACCAGTACATGATGTTGTAGTCCAGCTTCAGCTGGTATTTAGGGAACCTGAAGCAAAAAAACCCTGCCCATCTCCTCTTAAAAAAATGATTTCCCACATATGGTAACTTTTTGATGTTATTCATCCCTCCAAGCATCTAATACACATTCAAATATCAGTAAGAGGCTACCATCATTGGTATATTGTGTATTACCACAACAGCAGTTCAGACTTGCGCTTTGACTGACTGGCAGAGTGCTTCCTGGCCCAAAGGTGGGGGATTCCACTGCTCTGCAGAGCGCAGGTCACAGGTTTGATCAACCCTCATCTATCACGTTATATTATTCTATCAAATTGTGATTAACTTAAATATCGTATTTACTTCATCATTTAACTTTTATTACACTAAGCATGGACAGGTCTGCTAGTCACCCAGGGCAATTTCATCTGACCTGGGACTTGCACGCTACCAATCTTTTCTTAGGGGACCCTGGACTCACCTCCACTCTACCACAGAACTAGACATGCACCCCTAACTTTAGCAAAAATACAGCATCCAGTATTGTGACCTACTGAACAATATCTGTATCATCTGTCAGGTGAATAAAGAAGACATTTTGGTCACCATAATAAAGTTTTTTAAAGATTCAGTGTCACAGACAAAAGAACTCTATTTTAGGGGTGTATTTTATGCTACTTGATGGGTCCTATGATCATAACTAAGCTTTTAATTACAAATGCAGCTCTATATATCACTGTCAAATTTTGCACCTCTGTGAGAAAGCCATCCTCTGAGACCTAGTATTTAGTTTTATTTGAAAAAGAACAACATTTATAATCAATTAAAACGTTACTACCCGCTGGCACTTGTTGCTTCAATCAGTCCAGAACAGTGAAGATTTCTAAGCAGCATTAAAAGCTAAGATCTGAAATCCGTTTTAAAACAGGACTATAAATACTCATCCCTTAATTTCTCATTTTAAGACACTTTCTCCTTCTCCTCCGCACTCTCCTCCCTCCCTCTCAGACCCTCCAGCACCCTCTGCCCGGGATGGGGAGGGCTTCCAAACCCACGCCGGCACACTGCCACGGGCAGAAACTCCTCAAAGGCTGCAAGGAGCGGGGCAGGGAGGGAAATGCACCGGGCCAGGGCGTCCAGAGGTGGGCGGAGGTTAGTTCGACGAGGGGTCCAGCCTGCGCACGGCAACCTTTTTTCAGCAGAGGCCACCCTCCGCCCCGGGTGGGCTGGGACCCTCACCAGGTGTCCCGCGCTTTCTTGGTCTCGGGGCAGGCGCAGCAGGGCTTCAGCGGCTTCTTCTCTTCCCGCGCCTCCCCACTCGCGCCCTTGGCGTCACAGCTGGCGGCGGCG